GATGTGAAGCTTGAGGATGGAGAAGAACAAAGAATGTCTACTCTATCTCTTCCTTCGTAGACATTTCCATCTGAAATTACAAAATAACAGAGTTGGAAGGGACCTTCTAGGTCATCTAGTCCAACCCCCAACCCAAGCAGAGACCTTATACCATTTCTGACAAATGGTAGTCCAGTCTCTTTCTTGAAAGCCTCCAGTGATGAAGCTCCCACAATGTCTGAAGGCAAGCTGGTTCATTGGTTGATTGCTCTCACTGTCAGAAAATGTCTCCTTATTTCCAGGTTGAATCTCTCCTTGTTCAGTTTCCATCCATTGTTCCTTGTCTGGCCTTCAGGTGCTTTGGAAAACAGCTTGACCCCCTCCTCTCTGTGGCAGCCCCTCAAATATTGGAACATTGCTATCATGTCTCCCCTGGTCCTTCTCTTCTTAGATCCATAGACCTCCATAAATATTTCTTTTCTGAGATGTCTTTTCTATACTTCCATAGATCTCTGTTCCACTGTTCATGCAGTTTTGACGAAGAAATACATTTTTGTTTATTTTTGCATGTCAGAGGCACCTGTGATTTTCAAAATACATTTTGGGCTGCCCCAAACTCATTTTCTAGAAACTGGTACCATTTCATCTCTTTTTTTTTTTTCTTCAGAACTAATGGATCTGAGTTGCAAAAACCGGGTGACCACTAAATAGCTGACAGAATTAGGAATTTTTAGGAATTTTCCATACCAGTTTGTGGCCATCCAACATCTAGATTTTGGCACCTGGATCTGGTAACTGTAATTGGCGAAATTTGGCTGAATTTTAAACAAAGCAGGATGAGATCACGGATGGGAGGGAGAACCAGGAAATCCTGGTTGTCTGTTACAAAGGAGTTATATAAGGATTTTAATGATATATAAAGGGCATGTCCTGTTACATAAGGAAGTTACAACCTAGATAGAGTATTAAAGTGCCATCTTTTAAAAAATGTCCTGAGTTAATCAAACAAACCTTGGCAAAGATGCAGGCAACACAATGAGAAGGTTTGAGTACAATACTTTGAATGAAGAATGGGCCACTTTTAAAACATTTTTTAAAAAGATTTTTCTTTGTTGTTGTTAGAATAGAATAGAATAGAATAGAATAGAATAGAATAGAATAGAATAGAATAGAATAGAATAGAATAGAATAGAATAGAATTCTTTATTGGCCAAGTGTGATTGGACACAAGGAATTTGTTGTTGGTGCACATGCTCTCAGTGTACATAAAAAGACAAGATACGTTCGTCAAGAATCATAAGGTACAACATTTAATGATAGTCATAGGGTACAATAAGCAGTCAAATCATACTAGGAAACAATATCAATATAAATCGTAGGGATACAAGCAACATTTACAGTCATGCAGTCACAAGTGGGAGGAGATGGGTGATCGGAACGAGAAGACTAATAGTAATAATAACACAGCCTTAGTGAATAGTTTGACAGTGTTGAGGGAATTATTTGTTCAGCAGAGTGATGGCATTAGGGAAAAAACTGTTCTTGTGTCTAGCTGTTCTGGTGTCGTTTTGAGGGTAGGAGTTGAAACAATTTAGGTCCAGGATGCAAGGAAGGCTGAGTCAACCTTGAGCTGGTGAGCATCGAACTGCTGGCAGTCAGCAGAATTAGCCTGCAATACTGCATTCTAACCACTGAGTCACCACGGTTGCACTAGAAAAGACAAATTCTTTTTTTTAATTATTTCTTATATCAGGAAGTTATAACCTGGAGGGAAATAGATATCTTTGATAAGATAATATCAAATCAATAACAGCAACAACAGCAAAAAGTAGGAAAACATTTCCATATCTGTTGATCAGAAAATTACCTGGAGATATCTATAAAGCCAATAAAGATTCATCAGAGGAACATCACCTATATTACAAAAATATTTATTTTCATTTTGTAATTGTCATAGTGGGACGTATTATTGTTACTGTTTTATTGTAAAATATTGTTTTATAATGTCCCGAGCAATTGAAATCTCTGTTATAAACCAACTCAGTTGTTCCAGTCTGCCGAGATGCCTTTATTATTACATCAGAAGATATTCTCAACCTCTTGATTTTCATTTAGTAGCAGTGAAGATACCGTATGTGAAATGATTTCCTTATGGAGTTTGGACACACAGTTCTACAAAGGATTAAAAATATATCTCCATAATTTTCTAACTGCCACATTAAAGATGAGAAGCATAAATCACTGCCCCATAAACTTAACTAACAAGACTCTTTTTTTCCCCTATGTATTCAAAATGGACTGTGATTAATATATATCATACATATATGTATATATGTGTGTGTCAAGCGCCGGGGAAATCAAGAAATTCAGCCAGTTCAAATGAGTATAAAGTTTTATTGCGAGTTTAAGCTCTCTACAAAAATCTGAGCTACTAACGGTCAAGGGAAATGAGCAGGAATTAAGAAGGCATTTAAGTGGGCTGAACATCAATCCCTTGCGTTCACGCAGGGGCTCATGACTTATGACATGTTTAATCTCTCCCTCGGGCTCAGTCTGGTGTTCTCCTACAATGAGTGTATGTGTATGTATGTATATGTACTCTGTGTGTGTGTGTGTGTGTGTGTGTGTGTTGTGTATACAGCTAGTCCTCGACTTATGACCACAATTGAGCCCAAATTTTTCACTGCTAAGCGAAACATTTGCTAAGTGAATTTTCCCCATTTTACGACCTTTCCTGCCACTTAACCTTCCTTGTTAAGTGAATCACAGCGGTTGTTAAGTTTGTTAAGTGAATCGGGCTTCCCTGTTGACTTTGCTTGTCGGAAGGTCATAAAATGAGATCACTTGATCCTGGGACACTGCAACCGTCATAAATATGAGTCAGTTTCTAAGCATCCAAATCAGGGGTGGGTTCTACTCACCTTTACTACCGGTTGGCAACAGGGTTGCGCGCGCATGCGCAGAAGCATTTTGATGACGTCGGGGTCGGTGGGCGGAGCCTCCCGCCGGTTTTACTACCGGTTCTATAGAACCGGTCCGAACCGGGGGCAACCCACCACCACTGATCCAAATTTTGATCACCTGATCTTGAGGATGCTGCAATGGTCATAAATGTGAAAAATGGTCATAAGTCACTTTTTCAGTGCTGTTATAATTTATATGACTCTGTGTGTGTGCATATGTATACTCTTTTGAGAGTGGGCATCAGAATTTCATTTTATTGGGTGCTACTGTGTGCAGAGAAAAGTGACAATAAAGGTTATCTTATCTATCACAAACTTGGCAGTAACAAAAAGTATCTTTGACCCCATGCTGGGGAAAAGGGAATGAAAAGGAATTGTTTGTATCAGAGGTGGGTTTCAGCAGGTTCTGACCAGTTCTGGAGAACTGGTAGCAGAAATTTTGAGTAGTTCGGAGAACCGGTAGTAAAAATTCTGACTGTCCCCATCCCCATCGATTCTATGCCTCCTGAGTCCCAGCTGATCGGGAGGAAATGGGGATTTTGCAGTAACCTTCCCCTGCCACGTCCACCAAGCAATGCCACTCTCACCAAGACACACCCACATAACCGGTAGTAAAAAAATTTGAAACCCACCACATCGTTTGTATGTGTGTGTTAAATTCAATACAGCTAATCCCCTGATATTTAATACTTTCCTCCTTCTCCCATATTAAAAATGCAAAAATTGACAGCAAATTTTGGAGAACCCCTCAAGATAGGGAAGCAGGGCCCACCCAGAGTCTTAACTGAACCAACCTTAAAGGGGGGAGGAGAGTGTTAAACTAAGCAAATTAAAAACAGTTTGTGCGAGGGACAAGTTAAGGTTTGTCTATTGCACACAGCCAATGAAGATATGCTGTGCTTTTTTGCCTACTTTTAATTCTGTTACATGCGCTTTTGTTAGGAACAGCCAACAAAAATAGAACAGATCCCAACTGAGGCTTAATGAAAGAGTCCATGAAATGCTTGGAAAGCTAGACTTCAGATTGCACAACTGGACTTTGGTTAGCCAACAATCACAATAAACCTTCAGTCAGTCAGTCATAACAGCTGTCTGCCATTCAGCTAGCCAGAGATGCGGATGTCATTGTGTGACACCGCAAGTGTTTATATAAAATTCTTGCAATTCAGGAAGGACCTGTTGGGACAAAGAGAAGAATAACAGGGTTGGAAAGGATCTTGGAGGTCTCTGCTCAAGGAGAAGACCCTCTACCATTTCAGACAAATAGTTGTCCAATCTCTTCCTAGAGTTTGATTTTCATTCATTTAAAACAAGAATTAGAACATAAATGTCGCAGCTATATATTAAAAGGCACAGGAAAGGTTTTGTGTTTCCAGGTGGAAAAGGAAGTCCTATCAGTTTATAACATCAAAATTGCAACTACCTATTCCTGATGACAATGATTTTACAGATGGGTGGGATGGATGGATGGATGGATGGATGGATGGATGGATGGGATGGATGGATGGATGGGATGGATGGATGGATGGGATGGATGGGATGGATGGATGGATGGATGGATGGATGGATGGATGGATGGGATGGATTGGATGGATGGATGGATGGATGGATGGATGGATGGATAGATGATAGATAGATAGATAGATAGATAGATACAATAGATAGATGATAGATAGATGATAGATAGATACATAGATACATATATAGATACAATAGATAGATAGATGATTGATAGATAGATAGATAGATAGATAGATGATAGATAAATAGATAGATAGATAGATAGATAGATAGATAGATGAGAGAGAGGGAGAGATACAATGGATGGATGGGTGGGTAGGTACGTAGGCAGGCAGACAGGCAGACAGACAGACAGGCAGACAGACAGACATTGATGATAGAGAGATAGATGATGGATGGATGGATGGGAGGGAGGGAGGGGGAGAAGGGGAGAGAGATTTTTTGTAAAAGTGTCTTTTTCTTACCTAAGCCTGAGTTTGCTAGTAATATCTTCTCAAAATGAAAATTACAATACTTTCATTTTGATTCAATTTACAGAAGAAGAAGTCAGCTGCCGTTCAAGGAGAAGGGAAGAAAGAAAAAATATATATGAAAAGACGCGTTTTCGCCCTAGCTGCTTGCAGACCAAGAGGAGAGAACATCAGCTTTCTTTTCATCGCTCCAGAAGACTCCCTCAAGGGCCTTTCCTTGGAGTAAACGGCTTGTTCGTGGCTAAACAAAAGATTTTAGGATTCCTTTTTTTTTTTTTTTTAAATTCCCACCTCTACTCCTCTTTGGACCCCTTGAGTAAAAGGAGTCAACCGGTCTGCCAAAATGATGGCCTCTCGGAACAAGGGCCTGAAAATGTTCACCCTTGCCTTACTCTTCATCATCACCATCACGTCCTTCCTGCTCAACTACACCAACAACGTGGTGTCTACCTCTTGGGATCCCAAGCAAATCGCTTACCAGTTTTCGGAGCAGGTTAGAAAACTGCTGAACTATCCCAGGCGGCCCTGCAGTTGTGACACCTGCATTTTGGAAGAGGGCTCAGCCTGGTTCGAAGAAAGGTTCAACGTAACTATGCAACCCTTCTTAACCAACCAAAATGCCTTCCTGCCCCAGGAGAACTACAGGTGGTGGCTGGTGAGTAGGAAGGAGAGTGTTCTGACCTGGGCTCCCTTAAAAAGCATGAAGCAGAGTCTTGGTCCTGGGAAAATCTCTTTTATTTATACGACTGTGAATTCCGTTCGTTCACAGTCAGCAAGGCCTGTCCAAACAGTTTTTCAAAGGAATATTTATCGACACAGACCTTATCTCGCTTGGCAAACTGCCACGTAACTAGTTTCCAAATGCAGTACAAAGCAAAATTTGACATAGTCTCTCTCAGAGTCACAGAACGAACGAATTGTTTCCTGCAAAAGCCCCCTCCCCGTTCACTCCTCTTTTGTTTCCTATGGGAGGGGCCAATCACCTCCAAGGTGTGGCTTTATTCCCAAATTGACCCTGCTTTCTTAGGTGTTCTTGTCTTCTGGCAGTTCTGCACATGTGCACACTGGGAACGGGCTCCAGCTGTTCCTCTGCCTCACTGATGTCTAGCTCCCTCTCTGCCTCCGATGCAGAGCCCTCGTCTGAGCTTTCCCCAGCCCCCAGGACTGGTCCATGTTCTTCCCCAACCTCCTCACTGTCCGACTCTACTACCAGCTCTGCTGGCCGCCAGGGGGGGCCACAATAGAGAGGAAGGAGAAGGGGCAATTGAAAGGCAGCTCTTTGGGCCCTGGGATAGACTACAGGCTGTCCTCGACTTAACCACAGTTTGTTTAGTGACCGCTAGAAGTTACAACGGCCCTGGGGAAAAAAAGAAGGGACTTATGTCCAGTTTTCACATTTGGGCACGGTTGCAGCACTCCGTGGTCACGTGATTGAAATTTGGGCTACCGGTATATATATATTTAGGGCAAGTTGCAGGTCATGTGATCACTGTTTATGATCTTCCCAGTTGGCTTCCGACAAAGTCAGTTGGGGGGGGGAACAAAATTCACTTAACAACCGCATAATTCATTTAACAACCGTGTTGGTTTACTAAACAACTGTGTAGCATAAAAAAGGTTGTAAAAGGAGGTAGGACTCACTTAACAAGTGTCTTGCTTAGCATTGGAAATTTGGGGCTCAATTGGGGTCATAAATCGAGGACTGTCCTGTAAACAATCCCACTGCATCAGGATGGAAAAACTCTCCCATCCTTGTCCAACACTTTAATCACAAGCACATCAGTGCTAGAAAAGACTGGGGTTGGCTTTCTGTTCATATATAAGTGTCGATTGCTGGCAAGGAGGCATTATGGCCTTTTAGCTTTTTGATTGTCTCTTTTGAATGATAATACAGGGGTTTTTTTTATATCTATGTGCCTGTTAATCACATAGAGATAAATGTGATTAACAGGAAATGCTACCGGTTCACACCGGTTCGGTCGAACCGGTAGTGATAGGCAAACCGGTAGTTTAAAAAAAGCTACCGGTTCGTCCAAACTGGTATTTCTGACGATCAGCTGTGCCGCACGATTTAAATTTGCTAAACAGCAGGAAATCCTGCTTTCTAGTGAATCTAAATTGCGCGGCATAGCTGTTCCCGTCCTTTGCTTTTCTACTTACCTTGTTAAGCCTCCTTTTTCCACGCAAAACACGCATTTGGCATGCACTGCGTGTGTGCACTCTGCGTGCTTTTGGTGCACACTGCACATGCACACAGCACGCACCACGCATGTGGGGGCAGCGAAGCGGTGGCAATCCGCGGAGGATTTCACCACTGCTGTTAATGGCGGATTTGTCTACATTAACACCAAGATTAATCAAGTAAAGAATTGTAAGCCGTCTTTAGTCATTTGATTGAGCTGGGCAACCATACAAAAATGAATGAATGAATGAACGAATGAATAAACAAACAGTACCCCAATCAATCAAGGAACTACCAGCTCAGATAAACAATCAAGCAGTCATGAAGGAACCATCAAGGACACTCCCACTAACAATGAGAGGGCAGGCCATTTGTGCATAAACAGAGAGCAAACCACACTCCCTTCTAGCATTGATATGGTTATCTGGTTGGGTCATGAAATGTCTGCAAGGAAGCACCCAAGCTCAGAGAGCAAATTCTGAGGTATAAATATTATTTTCTATTAGCACTCTATTCACTAGTTCTGTGATGGCGAACCTATGGCACGGGTGCCACAGGTGGCACGCGGAGCCATAACTGTGGGCACGCGAGTGTTGCCCTACTCAGTTCCAGCGCGCATATGCGCGCTGGTCAGCTAATTTTCGATCCTTCCAGGCCCACCTGAAGTCGGGAAATGGGCTGTTTTCAGCCTCCAGAGGGCCTCCGGGGTGGGGGATGGAAGGCCGTTTTTGCCCTCCCCAGGCTTCAAGAAAGTCTCTGGAGCCTGGGGAGGGCGGAAAATGGGCCTACTGGACCCACCATGCCATCACGTGCCAAAAGTGGGGATAGCGCAGGGGGGGTCATGCGCACATGTGCGGGGGTGGGGCGCATTGAGTTATGGGTATGGGCACACGCATGCGCGACCCTCCCCCCCCGCATGATCCCCACTTTTGGCACGCGACAGCAAAAAGGTTAGCCATCACTGCACTAGTTTCATGACATTTTGCCCAAGAAGCTTTGTCTTGTTCCTTATTTACTTGCTCTTATTGGAAAGAAAGTAGATGTATGCCTTTGTATTGTCCAAAAAGAGATGGCTTGTGCGGTGGTACCCGGGGTGGGCTGCTAGGGGTTCTCAGGGGTTCGAGAGAACCTGTAGTTAAGATTCTGTGCAGTTCGGAGAACCCCCAAATCCCACTCCTGGTTGGTCCCTCCCATCCCTCTCCTCCCAGGAGTCCCCACGTGGCCCATTTTGCATGCAGGTAAGTGCAGGGCACACATGGAGGCTCAGGTAGGGCGAAAAACAGGCCTACTGGAAGTTCAGGAAGGCCAGAAATGGGGAGGCCATTTTCACCCTCCCAGAGGCTTGAGGAAAGGCTCCGGAGCCTGGGTGTTGTAGGAAAAGACGGGACCAGACCAAGCTCTTCAATGCAGGAAAGGTTTATTACCCATTCAAGCTGGCCTGGCCTAAATCTTCCCCCTTTTTAAATGTGGAAATTTTAAATTTTTAAATTTTAAATTCGTCTTATTTATAGGGGTATGGGTAAGGCGTTTTAAATTGGGGAGCCATTTTGGATTCAATTCTGTTTTAAACGTATTTTAATTGTTTATATTGTATGTTTTTTAATTTTGGCTGTTCACCGCCCCGAGTCCTTCGGGAGAGGGGGCAGTATAAAAATCAAATAAATAAATAAATAAATTATGCATAAAGGTTCAAACAGCAGTAAGCACAGCAAATTGTCTGAACCCCGAAGGGTGTACAAAGGTGTTGTTTTTATACTCTAAATTACGTATACATTGTCTGGGTGTTACATTTAGACATATTTGGTCTTAGGAGGAACCGAAAGACGCCTAGTCCAGACATTTGGTAATAGATAAAAGCAAAAAGGGAGTCACATGAATATACTGGGAGTTACTTATACTTATCATATGTTATACAGGACATTTAGGGTGGAATGCAGAAGTGAACAACAGGATGCATCTGTCTGGGCCAGTCTGCTCTTTTAAGATAAAAATACCTTGTGTCATCTCAGTAACTCCTTCCTGGCAGAGAAAGAAATCTTTAGCCTTGACCAAAGTTTTAGGCCTTACTATTGAGGCTCCAAGTTGGAACCAAGGAATATGTGTGTACCCCAAATCTAGTCCTCTTCATGGGGAGGGCAAAAACGCCCCCCTGCCGTGGTGCAGGAAGCCAACTAGGCCACACCCACCATGGCCACGCCCACCCAGCAACCGGGAAGAGAACCCCTTGCTAAATTTTTTTTTTAATTGAAAAAGTTTTACAATTACATTTTCTCCCCAATTTCCCCCCCACAGCCTTCCCTAACCTCCCTGACCTCCCCTAACCCCCCCTCCCCCCCGGACTTCCACAAAATATAATCCAAATCTAAATCCCCTTTTTATAAAACTTGAACCCCTCCACCCCCTGTATATTTTTCACATCTTCACAAAATTCTCTATATAATACTTTCAGTTAAAAGCTATCTGATATTTCCTAGTTTGATATTTATTCTGCACATAATCTATCCACTTTTTCCACTCCCATTCATAAGTCTCTTGTGAGCGATCTTTTAGATATGCTGAAATCTTCGCCATCTCTGCAAGGCTGGCCATCTTCAAAGTCCATTCCTCAATAGTAGGCATAGCTTCATTTTTCCAATATTGACCTATCAGTAATCTCGCTGCTGTCACCATATACAATATCAGCTTTGTTTCACCCGATGTAAAACCCTTAACTATACCCAATAAAAACAATTGTGGAGAAAACTGAATTTTTTTCTTTAAAACATTCTGCATAACCCACCAAATTTTTATCCAAAAAGCCTTCACTTTTTCACTTCACTAAAATTTTTGAAGCCCATCCCTGCTTGTAATGTGGTACCCCACGTCTGAACTAAACTGTCCTTGAAAAGTTTCTGGCAGACAAATGTTCAGGGAAGCTTATTAAATTGATCCAGATAGCAAAAATCTTCCCAACCACCTCAAAAGATCGATAACATCGAAGGCAGCAACTGAGACTTTATGGTCTTTAGTTTGGCCGGCTGATTCAGTTCTGATTTTCAATTATAATTGGGTTTCGGGGGGGGGACACCCAATAACTTCCGAAAACATGTTTGCTTGTAATAAATCATTGCAAGAAACTGAGAAAGCAAAGAAGGAATTAGCCAGAACATAGACACTGTATATTCAAGAAAAATGGCTGTTTTTATCCTGACCTGTTTTGAACATATGAAGTTAAAGTATACTCAATAATCTCTGGTTTCCTGTATATACCATTGTGGCTAGGTTTATAAATGACCTAAGCCAAACAAACCATAGCTTAAGCCAGGTTTATAGCTAGGAAAGTTTTGCAGGTTTCAGTGAAACTATTAACATGGTTTCATTAGCTGAAAGTTTGGACTGTAATTATGATGGGTTCCATGAATGGGATAGAGAGGACTTTGTGACAAAGGATGGGTCATGTTGAGGTAGGGAAAGAGAACACAGCTTTTGGATTCACTCCAATGATAACCCCAGATGTAGCACCATAAGTGGAGTACTACGCTACCTATAAAAGAGGGCAAAAGACATTAAAGACATGACTATGGAGGGTTGAGTTTCCAGTGATGCAGAGAGGTAGAGGACCATCAAATTGCATGCTTTTATGCAGGGGACTCCAAACTTGGCAACTTTAAGATTTGTGGACTTCAACTCCCAGAATTCCTCAGCCAACCATATTCTTGAAGTTCACAAGTCTTAAAATTGCCAAGTTTGGAGACCCCCCCCCCTCTGGTTTTACAGATTATATGAGCATGGCTCATCTAAGTCAGAAGCCTTTAGAGTAGAGTAGAGTAGAGTAGAGTAGAGTAGAGTAGAGTAGAGTAGAGTAGAGTAGTAGAATAGAATAGAATAGAACAGAACAGAACAGAACAGAACAGAACAGAACAGAACAGAACAGAATAGAATAGAATAGAATAGAATAGAATAGAATAGAATTCTTTATTGGCCAAGTGTGATTGGACACACAAGGAATTTGTCTTTGGTACATATGCTCTCAGTGTACATAAAAAGACAAAATACGTTCGTCAAGAATCATAAGGTACAACACTTAATGATAGTCATAGGATACAAACAAGTAATCAAATCATACTATGAAACAATCAATATAAATTGTAAGGGTACAGCAACAAGTTACAGTCATACAGTCATAAGTGGGAGGAGATGGGTGGTGGGAACGATGAGAAGATTAATAGTAATGCAGCCTTAGTGAATAGTTTGACAGTGTTGAGGGAATTATTTGTTTAGCAGAGTGATGGTGTTCGGAAAAAAATTGTTCTTGTGTCCAGTTGTTCTGGTGTGCAGTGCCCTATAGAGTCATTTTGAGGGTAGGAGTTGAAATAGTTTATATCCAGGATTTGAGGGGTCTGTAAATATTTTCACAGCCCTGTTTTTGACTGGTGCAGTATACAGGTCCTCAATGGAAGGCAGGTTGGTAGTAATTGTTTTTTCTGCAGTTTATGAAGAGTTTAGACTTTGTCACCTGATGCCTTCTGACCTCTGGGTCTTCAAACTATTCAAAATGTCAGAGTGAGTCCCCCAAATCTTCTCCACAGAAACTCCAGGGGGAGAGAAGTCCCAAGACCATGAATGAGACCATCCAGGAACTCTTCAGCTTCATTCCAGGAGACTGGGAGCACTTTTTGGACAGGAGCAGTTCCCGGTGTCGGAGGTGCGCTGTGATAGGAAATTCAGGGAATCTTCGGCAGTCACAGTATGGCCAAGATATTGATGCTCATGACCTTGTGTTTAGGTAAGTAGCTGCAAGGCCTTGGGTTCAAGTAATCTCTCCTTGAGAGAGAGAGAGAAACTTTCATCCACAAAAAGCAGTAGTAAGATGAGGGGTTATCTTCTTTGCACATGGCAGCCATCCTTTTCAGGAAGCAAAAGAGGCCTGGTAGAAAGGAATCAGTGGTGGGATGCTGCTGGTTTAACAACCAGTTCGGTGAGCGCATGCTTTGCGTGCACACACATGCTTTGCGCTTGCGCGCATGCCTAAGGCATTTGCACGCAGTGCTGAAAATGGAGCATTTAGAAGCTTGGCTGCTTACCTTCCAAGTCAGCAACGGTAAGTAGAACAGCAAGGGAAGGGGAATCCGCTATGGCGTGCGATTGAGATGAGCTACAAAGCAGGAAATAAAGGACAGGTTAGAGCGGTGCGGGTGGGAGGGGCCAACTGATAGTCGGCGCTATGGGTTTGTCCGAACTGGTTGAATACCACCTTTGAAAGGAATCCAATTTGTACACAATGGGCCTTCATCTCTTTCCCGTTCTTTTCCATAACAATCCTTCTTTTCTGCTCATGCCCTGCTAGGCATGGACAAATGGTGTCCAAGAAACAACTTAATCAAGATCACATGACGTATTAGTACCGCTTTATATAACCCTAGTAAACCACACCTGGAATACTGCAACCAATTTTGGTCACCATAGTACAAAAAAAGATGTTGAGACTTTGGGAAAAGTGCAGAGAAGAGCAACTAAGATGATGAAAGGCCTGGAGACTAAAACATATGAAGAATGGCTGCAGGATTTGGGCTTGGCTAGTCTAGAGAAAAGAAGAATTAGGGGCGACATGAAAGCAGTATTCCAGTATTTGAGGGGCTGCCACAAAGAAGAGGGGGGGTCAAATTATTCTCCAAAACACCAGAAGGTAAAACAAGAAACAAGGGTTGGAAATTAACCAAAGAGGAGAAGCCACCTAGAATTAAGAAGAAACTTCCTAACAGTGAGGACAATTAACCAGTGGAACAGCTTGCCTTCAGAAATCATGGATGCTCCATCACTGGAGGCTTTTAAGAAGAGACTAGACAGTCACTTATCTGAAATAGTATAGGTTCACCTGTTTGAGCAGGGGGCTGGACTAGAAGATCTCCAAGGTCCCTGCCAGCTCTTTTCTATTCTAACATGATCCATTTCTTTTCAGCCATGGGAGCCTTCTGTCCATGCCAAAAATTTTTTTTTAAAAAAAATCCCATGGATACCTTTGAACTATTCCATAATTTCAAAAAAATAAAATAAAAAAAATGAGCAAGGATCTCCCAAATCTAGCCTTGCTCAGGTAGATTTGCACAGGGCGATAAATGCGGTATGCAGATAAATCACATTCAAACAGCAAATTGGGATCTTCACATATCACTTGTCTAATCCCCGATGAACAGTGTTTTTCTTGTCATCGAAGGGGCCCAACGTACCTTCTCCACAAGGAGCTCCGCTCCGCTACTATTGTTCTCCTTTTGTTCGAACACAGTACAGCTGCTGGTAGAAAATGATGCTTTTCTAACCACAGCTTCAAATAAGAGCCGCATCCTTGTCTTTCAGATCAAGAGACGTGCATAGACAGGTTGTCCTTAACAATCATTTGTCCTTACAAGGGCATTGGGGGAAAAAGTGACTTTTGACTGTTGTCCACATTTATGACCCTGGGACAGCATCAGTGATGGGATTCAAATAATTTAACAACCGGTTCTCTGCCTTAATGACCAGCTGGGTGGTGTGGCCATGGTGGGCATGGCCAGGGGATGTGACAGGCAGGACTCGGCCTCCTGCACCCCCCTGGGAGCAAAAACCGGTCACGAGGGGGAAACGCATCACCCCCCCATCCCGTGCCCCATTTTGGGCCTAGTAGGTCTCCCTGCAGCCTCTTGGGAGTGAAAACTGGCTGCAGGGGGGCCATGCCGCCCCCCCCCATACCCTGTTTTGGGCTTAGTAGGCCTCCCTGCAGCCTCTTGGGAGCAAAAGCGGGCTGTGGTGCGGGGGCGCCACACACACCCATGCCCCGTTTTGGGCCTAGTAGGTCTCCCTGCACTTACCTGGGAGCTAAAATGGGGCGCATGGGGACTCCTGGAAGTGGTGGGGCCAGCCAGCAATTTAACTACCAGTTCACCCGAACTGGCCCGAACCAGATGAATCCCACCACTGGATAGCATCCTCCTGATTTTATTTATTCATAGAAAATTTATATTGCCGCCTACTCGCACATGGCCACTCAAGGGTGGCTTACAAAGATATCAAAACACCGTACAAAATAAAAAAAGAAAAATAATAAAGTAATAACTCTCCAGACACACAAACACCCTGGCGTCAACAGCCATTCATACTAACCATTTAATGGGCTCCATCCCATTCTGGGTTCCCCAGGTCCACTGTCTGAACCAGATCTTCACGCCCTTCCAGAAGAGCATTAGAGTGGGGGCCAGTCTAATCTCTGGGGAGATGATGTTCCAGAGACGGAGCCACCACAGAGAAGGCCCTTCTTTTGGGTCCCGCCAGATGTACCTCCCTAGGGGACAGGACCCACAACATTCCTTGCCTCTCCACTCTAGTGGGTTTGGGTAAATGTGTCTGGCAAGAGACGGTCCCTCAAATAACCCCGTCCCATGCCATGAAGGGCTTTAAAGGTGACAACCAGCACCTTCAATTGCACCCAGTAGCAAATCAGCAACCAATGCAGTTCCCGCAGGAGAGGTCATACCTGTGCAGATTTAACAGATTAAAAGAGTTGGAAAGGACCTTGTAGGTCATCTAGTCCAACCCCTCACCCAAGCAGGAGATCCTACACCATTTCTGACAAATGGCAGTCCAGTCTCTTCTTGAAAGCCTCCAGTGATGAAGCTCCCACAATATCTGAAGGCAACTTCTGTTCCATGGGTTGATTGTTCTCACGGTCAGAAAATTCTTTCTTATTTCTAGGTTGAATCTCTCCTTGTTCAGTTTCCATCCATTATTCCTTGTCTGGCCTTCAGGTGCTTTGGAAAATAGCTTGACCCCCTCCTCTCTGTGGCAGCCCCTCAAATATTGGAAGACTGCTATCATGTCTCCCCTGTCCTTCTCTTCACTAAAATGGCCATCCCCAGGTCCTGCAACCTTTCATCATATGTTTTAGCCTCCAGTCCCCTCATCGTCTTTTTTGCCCTTCTCTGCCTTTTTTCTAGAGTCTCAACATCTTTTTTATAGTGTGGTGACCAAAACTGGATGCAGTACTCTAGGTGTCTTACTAAGGCTTTATAGAGTGGTATTATTTCCTCCCTTGATCTTGATTGTATCCCTCTGCTAATGCAATTTAGGATTGCATTGGCTTTTGGGCTGCCACTGCACACTATTAACTCATATTTAATTACTTGTCCACTAAGACTCCAAGATCCCTCTCACACTAGGATCTGCACAAAACCATGCATTTTGCACCAACTGAAGTTTCTGGATGCTTTTCAGGGGCAGCCCCATGTAGAGCCAAATTCAGATGTTTGGCAACTGTGTCATATTTATGACAGTGTCATACTTATGACAGTTGGAGTGTCCTTGAGTCACATGATCGTCTTTTGCAAATCTTCTGATAATTCAAATCAATGGGGAGGTCAGATTCGTTTAACAACCCGTGATTTAACTGTCAATTGCAGTGGTCTATTTGGCAACTGTGGCAAGAAAGGTCATAAAATGAGGCAAAATTCACTGAACCACTGTCTTAGCAACCGAAACGTTGGGCTCAATTGTGGTCGTAAGTCGAGGACTACCTCTATCGCCCAAATATGAGTGTTCCTCTTCTCATTGACTGATACTTCTTCTCATTCCTCTCCTTTTATTTTTCCTTTTTGCCTGAAGAATGAACAAAGCCCCAACAAAGGGCTTCGAGTCAGACGTCGGCAGCAAAACAACTCATCACTTTGTCTACCCGGAAAGTTATCGAGAACTAGAGGAGACGGTCAGCATGATTCTCATCCCCTTCAAAATCTTAGACTTGCGTTGGGTCATCAGTGCCCTCACAAATGGCACCATCAACCAGTAAGTACCATATTTTTTGGAGTATAAGATGCTCTGGACTATAAGACCCATCTACCATTTTTGGGGAGGAAAACAAGAAAAAAAATCTGCCTCTGCTTCCCAGCAATATTCCTCCTTACAGCAAACAGCCTGCTTTAGTTTCATTTTCAGCACAACCCAATTAGCACAAGGAAAAAAAATCTGCCTCTGCCTCCCAGCAATTTGCCTCTGCATGGCAATAGGCAATTGTGGTCATAAGTTGAGCCCTACCGGTATGCTTCTCTGTGGAGAGAGGTTGCTTCTCATTTTCCAATTAAAAATTTAATCAAAAATTTAATCCTTATTTTTTGGCTTCATTGTTTTAACGGCTCCAAGAATTCCTTCTTCGGTCTGACCTTATTATTTTGCACTCTCTTTTTTGGAGAGCTGGGAATATGTCCAGAAATTTTGCCTGGTCTTGGTTATTTTGTCTGGATTTCTTTGAACATTGTTTGACCAAATGATGTCTTAGGGATTCCAACTCAAATGAAGTTTCGTTAAGCATAATCTTGGTGTTCATTAATCCTCGGCTTCAGAATGATTTTCTCTTCAAATTCAAACGTCTCCTCCATCATCATAGTGGAGCAGCAGATGTGAACCAATTTAATTTCATTTTATGTCCAATTCACTGTACCATCTTTCTGGATCAAACCTCCCAGGGTAGCCCATGACCCGACTGAAAACAGATGTTGTGGCTTAAACAATATTCATAATTGGAAAAATATGAGCCGCCTTCTCAATGAGTTTATAGGGCATTTAGAAAACAACGCTGTCAGATGGAGACATCATCATGTTACTCCATCCTCAACTAACCTTGTTGTCGTTAGTTGCGAAGTCGTGTCCGACCCCATGGACAACGTTCCTCCAGGCCTTCCTTTCCTCTACCATCCTCTGGAGTCCATTTAAGCTCAGACCTACTGCTTTGGTGACTCCATCCAGCCACCTCATTCTCTGTCGTCCCTTTCTTCTTTTGCCCTCCATCTTTCCCAGCATTAGGCTCTTCTCCAGTGAGTCCTTCCTTCTCATTAGGTGGCCAAAGTACTTGAGTTTCATCTTCAGGATCTGGCCTTCTACAGAGCAGTCAGGGTTGATCTCCTCTAGGACTGACCAGTTTGATCGCCTTGCAGTTCAAGAGACTCGCAGGTGTCTTCTCCAGCACCAGAGTTCAAAGGCCTCATCTAACCTAGCATTCTCCAAATTTCCTGAGATGGTCAATCACGTGTGCTCCAGCTACCTACAAGCCTAGTTAACAAGGAAATGACATGGTAGATTTAAGAGAAGAAGAAAAGGTCAGTTAGTGTCCTTCACTAACTAATGTCCTTCTAGTGTCCTTCAACAAAATCCTACTAACAGAAGGCAATCTTGCTACCCTTGGCCTCCAGACTAAAACAGGTTACCATAGTTACGATAAATGCAAGAGCTCAGACTAACTAGATCTTGGGGAGGTTGGATTTGTTACCATGCATTGATGATAACCCCAAAAGTACTGACTTATATACAGTAGCTGCAAAATGTAGATGACTCTTCAGCATTCTTTTGAGAGCCAGCATATTCATCACCAAATCCACCAAGGAATAGACCAAGCAGATAGCCAAATCTCAAAGGTGGAAGATGCTGGATTATCCCAATGAGATCATTGGCCCAGTGTTCTGCTTCAGATGGTAGACAAGTGGATGCCCTAAGCCTCCAAAATAAAACTCGTATCTTCTGTGCATGGGTGCCTAGGTAGCCTCTGTACCTGGACGTTTGTTTGTTTGTTTGTTTGTTTGTTTGTTTGTTTATCAGATTTATATGCCGCCTTTCTCCCGTAGGACTTGGGGCGGCTCACAACAATAAAACAACCCAACAATAGATACAGATTAAATAATATTAAAACCAATTTAAAATCCCCAAATCCCCAAGTTAAAATCCACGGCAGATCAGGGAAGTTGCTGAAAGAGCCATGTCTTTAGGTTGGCATGGAAGGTGCAGAGGTCAGGGGCCGTCCGGAGCCCAGTGGGCAACCCATTCCAGAGGGTCGGTGCGACCATAGAGAACGCCCTCATCCTGGGGACCGCCAGCCGACACTGTCTGGCCAAGGGGACCCGGAGGAGGGCAGCCCTATGTGAGCGCACTGGGCAGTGGGAGACCAGTAGGAGGTGATCCTGCAAATATTCCGGGTCCATGCCATTAAGGGCTTTATAGGTGAGTACCAGTTTAGAATAGAATAGCAGAGGTGGAAGGGACCTTGGAGGTCTTCTAGTCCAACCCCTACTTAGGCAGGAAACCCTAGACCACTTCAGACAAATGGTTATCCAACAGCTTCTTAAAAACTTCCAGTGTTGGAGCACTCAAAACTTCTGGAGGCAAGTTGTTCCACTGATTAATTGTTCTAACTGTCAGGAAATTTCTCCTTAGTTCTAAATTGCTTCTCTCCTTGATTAGTTTCCACCCATTGCTTCTTCTCCTGCCCTCAGGTGCTTTGGAGATTAGCTTGACTCCCTCTTTTTTGTTCCCTCTTCTTTAGATAGTATGACAGGCGGGGTTCTTGCTGCTCTCTGAGCTTAATTGTTTTCTTAGAGAGCTTAGAAAGCACCAAGGACCCCACCTGTCATGCTGTCTAAACAAAAGTTCAACCCTGAGCTACAAATATTCTATTCTACCAGTATGACAGGTGCTTGTTAAACACACCTTAAACAGTTTTCAAAGGCTTCTACTCTAATGACCACTACTGCCTTTTGGACATTTCAAAAATCATAAGTTGAACTAAGAAAGCAAAACATTTTCATGGGAATACTGGTCAGCCATCTCTTATTGTTCTATCCTTGGTAAGAGAACACTGTTAATAATATCTAACCAAATTAAATGAAGAAAATGCCCCTTTTAAGCTATCTTATATGAATAGTCATTCCCATGGTCCCCATAAATTCTGCGTTGCATGAAAATATATATATTTTTCTTGTGATTTCCCTTGAATATCTTCCACTCTCCATTACACCAAGAGGCTAAGCTAGGACAGCCGTTAGCTTAATGTCAACACTGGGAAATAATGTTTTCTTAACAGATTTTATATTAAAAGCACACATATGTATAAGCACACACAATCTTGGTGGGAACAGTGGAATCACAGCAGCTCTTCCTTGTTGTCCAGGAAACACTTTTGTATCGTGCACAACGTGATATTAATATGTATTGCAGTTTGTATTTCATCTACTCAGCAAAAGGGCATTTCAGGGCAAGGATCTAAATTGTATAAGAGAAGATTTAATTTTTTTTTTCTTTGTAAGATCCAAAACTGTGTTTTCGAGACAGTGGCACTACTCATGTGTGAAAGATTTGACAAGCTGCAAAGTTTTTCATTATTTGCAAAGTCCATGTCTCCTGACCAAACAAGGAAATACCATATTTTCTCCTTTCATTGTTTGTTCTTCTACTGTTTATTTAGAATCCATTGACAAACCTTCTTTGGTAATATTTTCCTATTACTCTGTTTGTATATTGTTATTTATTTATTTCCAAGGTTAAAATACAGAGTAAAAAAAAGGGGGGGGAGAATTACAATACAAAAACAGAGACAAACAAAAAAAAGTATCTAAAACAAAATATCAAGCATACAGACAAAATGTCCCCTCCGGCTGAACATTGATAAATTTATTTCAACAACAAGAATTAATCCCCCCTTGTAGAACAAGTCACCAATCTATAAATGCCTACCTCTATATTTGTATAATCGCTATATAACATTAGGAAAAAAATCGCAATTGTAGAAAACTATTATCAGTCAAGCAATTTGACCTACTATCTCTCTACTAGAAAAAAAAATAAGCAATCCCGACCACAAAAATTGCCAATTTTTCCTAAATTAATCTTAAAAATTGCTTAGATTACATTGTTTATACCGGTTCCACCACAGATATTTTAGATGTATCTGCGGTCAATCGTTGCTTGAAATCGAAACAAATCTCTCTTTTATTTTTATTTTTTTATTTATTTGTCAAGCATATATAAGATAACAGATAAAAGTATAAACATGATTATGAGTACATGAAAAGAGTAAGAGTAAAAAGGAATATTAGGACAGGGACAGTAGGCACGCTGGTGAGCTTATGCACGCCCCTTACAGACCTCTTAGGAATGAAGTGAGGTCAACAGTAGACAGTCTAAGGTTAAAGTTTTGGATGGAGTGGAAGTTGCCCCTTTTCCTCCATTTTAAACCCCCTGTGTACGGAAGCTGCAGGAACTGAAAACAGCCGCATGTTGTAAGTTGGCTTGAAGATCGAAGAACTGTAAATCACTTTAAGGAAGAACAAAAGCAAAATAAGCTCCCTGGAACGGGATAAATGGCAAAACAGAAAGATTTTATTTCAAAACTAAGGAGAGGGACTGTAAAGGATTAGATGCCTTTTAAAGAAGGGATTAGCTTCCTTTTAAAGGAGAGTAGCGCAGATATGGAAGAACTACAGCTAAACCACAATGGAAAGGACACTTCTGTGAAAGGGAACGCAAATTGAATTCGCCAGGCTGGGAATTATAGAAATTGTAGTTGAAGGGGTTGGAGATAGAAACTGGAGGTAGATTGCATACAGATATGAACTACCAATCCGTGCTCACCCTAAGATTTTGTTCTCCTTGTGTGTAGCTTTTGGGGGGCGGGGGAGAAGTCAACTTCACTGTAGAGATAGTCCTCAATTTATGACCATTCAATTAAGCAACCCCGGCACACCATGCTCCACTTAATGACTGCAACAGAGAGAGCTGGAATTGCATGGCTGCCTTGCTTAAAAATATCAACCACTTCACTTAATGACTATAATTCTGGGCTCGGTTTTGGTCGTAAACCGAGGGCTACCTGTATTTTTCGAATTCATGTTCTACCTTTGATTTGGTTTCCTATTTGTAGGCAGCATTGTTGGAGTACTAAATTTAGAATTAACAGTGCTTTTTTTAATTCCATAGTAGGATGTTGTGAGCTTTGTTTGACTGGACTTTATTTCTTTCTTTCTTTTTCTTTTTGACAGCACATATATTCCTGTTCCTCGTAAAATCAAAGCCAACAAAGACAAGGTGAGTTATGGCTACAGTTAATCCAGGACTTTTTTCTCTATAAGGAAAGGGCAAATCCAGATAACCAGATGGGGAATGACGGCCCCTTTAAGACTTCTGGATTTCAACTCCTAGAATTCCTGAGCCAGCATGACTGACTCAGGAATTCTGGGAGTTGAAGTCCACAAGTTATAAAGGGGCCATCATTCCCCACCCCTGATCTAAACAATGATTCAGAAGATGATGAGTTATTCCAGTGGTGAAATCCAATTTTTTTTACTACCAGTTCTGTGGGCGTAGCTTGGTGGGTGTGGTGTGGCTTGGTGGGCGTGGCAGGGGAAGTATACTGCAAAATCTCCATTCCCACCCAACTCCAGGGGAAGGATACTGCAAAATCTCCATTCCCATCCCACTCTGGGGCCAGCCAGAGGTGGTATTTGCCAGTTCTCTGAACTACTCAAAATTTTCGCTACAGGTTCTCCGAACTGCTCAAAATTTCCGCTACTGGTTCTCCAGAACCTGCTGGATTTCACCCCTGCTTTATTCCATTTCCACATTTCAGGCATGAAGTTAAATTTTGCACTTCCATTCTTGTTCAAACCATGGTTTGTGATTAAATCCATTCTAACTATCCAGTTCAGGTCATTCCCTCCAAGCTATATTGTTTCTTGTAGAGATAGTCCTCACTTTACAACCATAAGTGAGCCCATGCCAGTCATTAAGCAGGTCATCCCATGACCGATCCAATTTTACTACTTTTTGTGGCAGTCATTAAATGAATGCCAAAATTGTTAAATGAACTCATTGTCCACAATAGGCTGTTGTTATTGTTTTTGCTGGAAAACCAGAACTGCTGGAAAACACCAGTTTCTGGGAGGGGGAAAAAAAGGAAAAAAAACCCATAAATTTTGGTTGCGTGACCACAGAAAGCTGCAAATGGCTGCAAATGTATTTTTTCTTTTATATACACTGAGAGGATATGCACCAAAGACAAATTCCTTGTGCGTCCAATCACACTTGGCCAATAAAGAATTCTATTCCATTCCATTCCATTCCATTCCATTCCTTTCCATTCCATCCCATCCCATCCCATCCCATCCCATCCCATCCCATCCCATCTCATCTCATCCCATCCCATCTCATCCCATCCTATCTTATCCTATCCTATTTTAAATGTTTTTATAATGATTTTAAATGCATTGTGAGCCACCCTGAGTCTTCGGAGAGGGGTGGCATACAAATTGAATTAATAAATAATAAATAAATCCTATCCTATCCAATCCAATCCTATCCTATCCTATCCTATCCTATCCTATTCTATTCTATTCAAATGTGGGTTTCCAAGCACCCAATATGTGATCACATGACCATTGGGACACAGTGGCCAGAATTTCAAAGCTGGGGTGTAAATACCTTTCTTGAACCTGTAAATTCTTTTGATTTGTTGCAAGAACTGTACAGTGGATAACACAACACAACGAAACAGACTTTTTTTTAAAAAAGGAGGAAAATCCTTGTTCCTCTGCACATCCAGACAGTTTGTTCAAACAAAGGAGGGCTGAAGGGAAACTCATTGGCTTCAAAATGTAAGAAAGATAAAGGCGATGCATTTGGCAGGAGAAGATCAGGTTAGTAAATAAAATATGTTTTGAATTACACAGAAGCCCTCTCTTGAGGTTTTTTTTTTCTTGTTGCCGTCTAATAGGTTCAGATGTTCAAACAAGCTTCAGCATAACAGGTACATAACAGGATGTCCTTGACTGCGTACATTAAAGCACAAAGCGGGCTGCCTCTCTTCCTAATTGGATGGAACAACCCTTATTTTTGCATCCAAAGATATACATACATACACCCTTGTTCTCGAGTAACCTACAAGATGCCTGAGATGGAGATTCAGAAGTGAAACCAACTGACTGGATGAGGTCATAAAATTCATCTTGGTTAAAATGGGTAGACTGAGAAAAATGAAGTTGTAACTTCAGAGGTGTTGAGTTCCAACCACATGCTGAACAAGGGCAAAATGAAGTAACTATTGTTCACCGTATGGTAGAAAGTCCGCCATTATCTTTGCATGTGATGTGACTCAGGGATGAAACCGGTAGTAAAAAATGCTACAGGTTCGCCGAACCGGTAGTAAAAAATGCTACTGGTTCGCCGAACCGGTAGTAAAAAATGCTACTGGTTCACTGAACCGGTAGTAAAAAATGCTACTGGTTCGCTGAACCAGTAGTAAAAAAATGCGACTGGTTCACCGAACCGGTAGTAAAAAAATGTAAAAAAATAAAAAAATAAAATTCCGACGATCAGCTGAGCGACCCGCGATTGTCGTACCTTTTTTTTTTTTTTTTACTTTTTTAGCATTTTTTTACTACCAGTTCTCCAGAACTGGTAGTTAAAAATGCTTTAAAAAAAAAAAAAAGTTCCAACAATCGCAGGTCACTCAGCTGATCATCGGAACTTTTTTTTTTTTTCTTTTTAGGCATTTTTTTACTACTGGTTCCAGCGAATAGATAGTAAAAAAAGTGCTTTTAAAGGGTTAAAAAAATGTTCTGATGATCGTGCAGCACAGCTGTGATCGTCGGAGCCTTTTTTTTAACCTTTTAAAATCATTCTTTTACTACCGGCTCTGGCGAATAAGTAGTAAAAAAATGCTTTTAAAAAGTTTTTTAAAAAGTTCCCACGCACGCCACAGCTGATCACACACACACACACACACACACACACACACACACACACACACGCTGTTCTACTTACTTTCCCAAGCCTCCTTTTGGTGCCCACTGTGCATGCGAGCATGCAGCGTGCAATTTGGCGCATGTGCGGCCAGCGAACCGGTAGTAAACCAGTTCAGATTTCACCATTGATGTGACCTTGGTCATCATGAAACATCATCATACAATTTATTTCCTTGGAGATAGCATTTTATGTGAACGCAGGAAGCGAGTTGCTAACCCAAGTCTAACCCGTTGGGTGGATTCCGTGATTGTGTTGGAACATCAATGGAGATTGCCAATCATCCAGGTCATGGTTGTCCCAAAAGTGCTTTTTCCAGAAGACTTTCTTGGTTTTTTTTTTTCTCTTTGAAAAATATGTGATCGAAGAAGCTTCTTGAGTTCCGAACTGAACTTCAGAGCTGAAGGAAGTTTCTTGGATGAGGAGCGGAATGTTTTTCAAAAGAAAAAATAAATACCAAGGAAGTCCACTTGCCCTTTTGGGTAAAGCACCCTTGAGATATTATTGTGGTGGAATGCAGTCTGTATTCCTAGGAGGGAGAGTCTGCATTCCAGAGGACCAAGAGACAGCAAAGTTTAGATAGTTTGATTAGGTGGAAGCAAGGGTGAAATCCAGCAGGTTCTTACAGGTTCTGGAGAACTGGTAGCGGAAATTTTGAGCAGTTCGGAGAACCAGTACTGCAGCTACTTCAGCTGACTGCTAGTTCAGCAGATCAGTGGATCAAATCTCACCGACTCAAGGTTGACTCAGCCTTCCATCCTTCCGAGGTGGGTAAAATGAGGACCCAGATTGTTGGGGGCAATATGCTATTTAGTATACTGTCTTTGGTGTAAGCTGCCCAGAGTCCTCGGAGAGTGGGCGGCATAGAAATATGACTAATAAATAAATAAATAATAAACCGGCAAATACCACCTCTGGCTGCCCCCAGAGTGGAATGGGAATGGGAATTTTGCAGTAACCTTCCCTTGCCATGCCCACCAAGCTACACCTGCCAAGCCACACCATGTCCACCAAGCCACGCCCACAGAACTGGTAGTAAAAAAAAAAAATTGGATTTCTCCACTGGATGGAAGTCCCTAGAATTTCTCAGAGTATATTTTAGTGATGCAAGTAATTGTTTTAGTTTTGCAAGATTTCTGTCTATAGATGACAAACAATAAAGTCTGTTTTTCTAGCAGGACTACCAGATTCTGTAACATAGTTTTGTTCCCTATGCCATCCGTCTGATAAACTCGCCAGATTTGTCTTTCCCATGTACATGCATACATCTGAACTAGACTGTGTTGTTTCTCTCTTTTTTTTATTGAAAAGTTTTACAGAAAAACAAGAATTTTCTTCCCCCCCCATGTTCTCCCCACCCTTTCCCTTCCCTCATCCCACCATCCCCCCCAGACTTCCCAGAGCAAAATACAAGGTATTTCATTTAACAATCATAAACTAGATTAACCTACTTATCCTCAGACTACTAACTCCCCCCCTGAAACCTTAACTCCGCTATAGATAACATAATACTTCTAAACTTTAACATTCATTCATAAGCTATTTGATATTTTCTTGTCTGATACTTATTTTGAATATAATCAATCCATCTTCTCCACTCCGATACGTATCTTTCTTGTGTATAGTCCTTCAAATATGCTGAGATTTTTGCCATTTCTGCTAAGTTCGTTACTTTCAGTATCCACTCTTCAATAATAGGCAAAGAGTCCTTCTTCCAATATTGCGCTACCAACAGCCTAGCTGCTGATATTAAGTTCAAAATCAATTTAGTCTCTGATACTGTACAATCCGTCGTTATACCCAATAGGAACAATTGAGGAGTAAATTTCAACCTTCTTTTCAGAATAGTCTGCATCACCCACCAAATTTTTATCCAAAATGCCTTGATTTTCTTACAGGTCCACCATATATGATAATAGGTTGCATCATTACATTCACATCTCCAACATTTAGCTTGCAAATTGGAGTACATACACGATAATTTTTTAGGATCTAAGTGCCATCTATAAAACATTTTATAAAAATTCTCTCTCAAATTTTTTGCTGGCGTAAATTTAACATTTCTGACCCAAATCTTTTCCCACGTTTCCATCATCACTGGTTCCTGAAGGTTTTGTGCCCATTTTATCATACAATCCTTAACCAATTCCGTTTCTGAATCTATTTCCAATAATGCATTATGCAACCTTTTAATATGCATCTGACTTTGATCTCTAATCTGTTTCACCAGATTTTCCTCATTTTGCATAACACAACTGTGTTGTTTCTCCATGTCATATACTATACGTGGGTATATGCATAATTTTGTATTTATTTATTTATTTATTTAGTCATGGTTATGTAGTGTATATTGGAGGTGGAGACCCTTTGAGAACTATATGCAATGAAATTTCATTTTAATGTATGCCAATTAGTGTACGTTCGAAGTGCCAATAAAGTTATTCTAAGCTCTAAGTCTAAAGGAAACTGCTTAGAAGGAACACAACCTGTCTTTTTTGGGTTTTGGAGCCTTACAATTATTGTTCAATTATATTTGCAGCCTGTGATCTGAATGAACTGAATAAGGCAGCAAGATATGTCCAAGGTCCCTTCCAACTCTGTTATTCTATTCTAAATTTTTTTATCATGTTTTTTATCACCCTGTGTCCGTTTTCCTCCTCCGTAATCCTTGTAATTCCCAGAGCAAGCACAGATTGCATTCATCTATAAAATAGATTCTAAAAAAACTATGCTTCTCTCCTAAGGGGAAGGTTTAGGTTTGCACCGCATTCAATTTCAGGGACCACCTTCCCAAATAAATGGTGGCATCTGAATGTTTTAAACCAGAGATTAATTTTGAAGAAAACTACAGGGCAGACTTTATTAAAAAAAACTTTCCCCAATAGAGGCAGGGATGGAGAGCTGTCAATTGCCAAGAAAGTGTTGTTGTGGTGCCACCTACAGGCAGCAAAGAGAATGGCACCACCTACAGGCAGCAGAGAGAACAGCCCAGTTGCCCCTTAAAATTTGGGTCAAAGTGGAAAATGAGATGCTTCCAAATTTCAGTTCTCCCCTAATTTTATCCTTGAGAATAACTCAGGTTGAAAAAACAATGCCACGAGTTATAATTTTGCAGGCTTCTTTTTTCACGGGGGTAAAATTATGCAAGACTTTTTATAGATACCATCCAGAACTTCTCAGAATAGCAACAACAAAAAAAGGATATAAATACAATCAATCTTTTTTTTTTTTAAAGGAAGGTGGCCTCCTGTACAGGACTGACATCTAGCATCTCCATTCTTTCCAAAAACATGTCTTGGGCCCTAAAAAGACTTTTTCTTCTGGGCATTCTCAGAAAATTAGAAGTGAAATCTGCTTCGGGTTCTTCACCCAAATGAGAAAATAAGTTGAAAAGGTGTCAAAGGCAGGGTGTGGCAGGAAACCACTTAGAGAATGACAAAATTGTCAATTTGGAAAGGACCATAAGGATCAGCTAACCCAGCCCTCTGCAATATGCAGGAGAATCTGTCTCTCTCTCCCTTTCTCTCCCCCTCCCTCCCTCCCCCTCTCTCTCTCCCCCTCTCTCCCTCCCTCCCTCCCTCCCCCTCTCTCTCCCTCTGTCTCTCTCACACTGCCTCCCTGTCTCTCCCTCCCTCCCTCTTTCTTTCTTCCTCCCTCCCCCTCTCTCCCTCCCTCCCTCCCTCTCTCTCTCTCCCTCCCTCTCTCTCTTTCTCTCCCTCCCCCTCCCTTTCTCCCTCTCTATGAATAGACAATCCACACCTCATCCCTCATTTTTGCGGGAGCCGCCACCAGCTACGTTCCAAATTCCAGATGTCCACGTGGGCCCTGAAAAGATAGGCCCCACCTCACTGAATTCTGATTGACAGCTGAGGCCTACCCGGTACCTGGAAAACTGCTTTAGAATTTCTTGCTGCTTAGATGGTTTTTAGCAGATTCTCCAGGTCTCTGTTTTACACATACAACTCAAGGCAGCTTTCTGTACTGAGTTACGAGTCTTCTGGCAGAATAAATGTTTATTACTGATTGATTTATTCAATGTGTGTGGTTACTCTCTTGCCAAGCAACTCTAGGTAGCTAAGATGGGTTAAAAAAAAATCATCAGCGTATACAAAATCTAGCAAAGGCACATAGAGGACAATAATCTGTCATCATCGTCAGCCATTCAGTTGTGACCAACATATTGCACAGAGTACAATAATTCACATATTGCATATTAATAGCAATAGCAATAACACTTAGACTTATATATATGGTAGTTTAGAGCACTGACTTCAGAAGGATGGAAAGCTGAGTCAACTTTGAGCCGGTCAGGATCGAACTCCTGGCACTAGGCAGAGTTAACCTGCAATACTGCATCCTAATCACTGCGCCACCAGGGCTCCTCTTAATGATTCATACAGCATCCTGTCTCAGGGCCAGAGAAGAACCAGATCTCAAAGACCTTTCTAAAGACATAAGGATCAGGCCACCTGAATCTCAGGACGGAGGGGTGCTGTTCTATAGGGAAAGTGCACCAACAGAGAAGGTCTACTTCCTACAGTACATCCCATAAGAGGACACTTGGCTAGGTAGGAGTCAGAAATTAGCAATCCTGGCCAAACGTGTGGGATGAGCTCAGATAATTGGAGATATAGATAGTCCTACAGATAAACTGGTCTACTTGGAGTCAGTGTAACTCAAGCAGTAGAACTGTGGTGGTTATAGAGTTGTATCCATAAAGATTTGTGCTGGACCATTCTGGACCATCTGTAGCTTCTGAGTGGTCTTGAAGAACAGGAATCTAAACTGACACCATCTCTTTTTTCAGCTTGCAAATTTATAGCTTTCAAGGGCTATAAGGGCAGCCCCTTGTAGAGCATACTGCAATAAACCAAGCGATAATCCTAGCTGACGATTCTGATGGATAGTTTGGGTTTGGGCCATCGGTGGCATCACCTGCCAAAACCGGGACTGGATTCTCTGTGCTTGCAAATTATTGGTTTTTTTTTTTTAATTATTATGATTAGCATTCCTAGCTGATCATTCTGATGGACAGCTTGGATTTTGGCCATTGGTGGCCTCACCTGCCAAAACTGTGCCTGGATTTTCTGTGCTTATAAATTATTGGTTTCTTAGAAACTCGGCTCTGTTGTTAGGCTAAAACCCAAGATAGGAAAAGCTACCTAAGCAAGACTTTTTATACGACAGTGTTATTTTTTTTTTCCCCTTTCATCCCCCTTTCTTTTTCAACATCCTTACACAATCCACTTCTACCCCTTGATGATAGGATACGTAAAATAAATACTGTTTTTCAAATCTGGGCCCTTACTTGTTTCAAAAAGCATTGTATTTAATTTCCTGCAACGACAGACCTTTATTTAAGATCCTCAAAGTGAAGGGCGTTTCTTCAGTGTTCAATTGTTGTTTGCCGAGGATGTACAAAACTTGCCAATTGGGAAAGTACATTTTGTAAATTCCTAGAATTTGCTGGGTTGTTTTTTTTTCATGCTGAATTATCTCCGAAATTAAACTAACAAGATATGTTCTTTCATTTTGTGCAGATCATGGTTTATCATCCTAGTTTTATTAAATACGTTTACGACAACTGGCTCCAACATCACGGGAGGTATCCCTCAACCGGCTTCCTGTCAATTATCTTTGCCCTTCACCTCTGTGATGAGGTAAGTGCTGTTCTAACCTAAGGCTTCCTTAGAAAGTATACAGCACAAACTTAGTCCCGGCAAACCTCTTTAATCCATATGGCTGTAAATTACTTTCATTTACAGTCCACAAGGCTTGATAAACAGTCTTTCAGGGGAGTGTTTACAAACACCCACATTATCTCCCTTGGAATGCTGCCAGAGAACTAATTGCCAAATGCAGGGCAAGGCCAAACTTAGCACAGAGTCAAACAGAGCTTTTCCAGAGCTTTTATCGACCAGATGAACTAATTGTTTCCTGCAAAAGCTCACGTCCCGCTCGCTTCTCTTTTATGTCTTATGGGAGGGGCCAATCATCTCCAAGCCTTACTCCCAAGTCGACCCTATTTTCTTAATTGTTCCTGTCTTCTGGCAGCTCTGCACTGTCAAGATTCGGGTTATTGTCCGCGTTCCAGAAAAAAACCCAACTCCAAGTAAAAACTCTGAAGCAAGCATTTTTCAAAGTTTTATTTACTAGAATAGGTAAACTGGCACATCTGAGAAAACCTGAATCTGAGAGGTCCGGGTTTTCCCTCAGTAAATCAAAAACCCCCAAACCATCCCCTCAGTCCTCAGTCGATCGCATGCTCCAATCAACGTCCGTCCCATCTCGAGACAGCACTCTGACCACTCCTTCTCCAGATGCAGGATCAGCCTGACCTTGACCGACAGGAAGAACGCTATTATGTCTAAAGACAACCCTTCAACTAAATCCCCCCTCCTACTTTCCCACACATGAGAAGATAGCAGCATGGAAGCTTCCGGTCTAATATGGCTTCCAAAGCTGATATGCGCATGCGCACACTGGGAACAGACTCACGCTGTTCTTCTGCCTCACTGATGTCAGAGTCCGGAGACTCCAGAGGCAGCAAAGAACTACCAGATGGCCTTGGCCCCCTCTCTGCCTCCAACTCAGAGCTATCGTCCAAGCCTTCCCCAGACTCCAGAACTGGCCCACGTTCCTCCCCAACCTCCTCACTGCTTGAATCTGTTGCCATCTCTGCTGGCCGCTGGTGGGCCACAACAGATGCCCTACTAAGGCTACCTTTTTATTTATTTATTTATTTTTATTTTATTTTTATATGCCGCCCTTCTCCGGAGACTCAGGGTGGCTTACAATGCGTTAAGCAATAGCCTTCATACTTTTGTATATTTTTATACAAAGTCAGCTTATTGCCCCCACAAACCGGGTCCTCATTTTACCTACCTTAGAAAGGATGGAAGGCTGAATCATCCTTGAGCCTGGTGAGAATTGAACTCGCAGTAATTGCAGGCAGCTGGATGTTAAATGCTGCCTTAGTAGGAGGCATTTACCTTCAGGAAAAGTGGGAGAAAACCTGGTTTGCACGGTGACCTGCATGACTTGATGACCAAACCATTGTTCAAGTTGACCCTTAAATATGCAGAACAAAAAAAAGATGTTGAAAAAGTGCAAAGAAGACCAACTAAGATGTTTAAAGGCCTGGAGAATAAAATATAGGAGGAACGGTTGCAGGATTTAGGTTTGGCTAGTCTAGAGAAAAGAAGGACTAGGGAAGACAGGATAGCAGTATTCCGGTATTTGAGAGGGGACAAAGAGAAGAAGGGTCAATTTATTTTCCAAAGCACCAGAAAATAAGACAAGAAACAACGGATGGAAACTGATTAAGGGGAGAAGCAACCTGGAATTGAAGATAAACTTCCTAACAGTGAGAACAATTAACCAGTGGAACACCTTGCCTCCAGAAGTTATGGGTGCTTCATGACTGGAAATCCCAAAGGTGCTTTTTTTTCAAGAGATAATTGGATTTTCTGGTCCAGAAAGTCTAGTTGCCTCTTGGGAAAAAAGCACCTGTGAGACAACCATGATGTGAAGTTTCCAAAAGATGCCCTAATTAATTCATGAGCCATGAGCCAAACTTCAAAAGAAATACAGTCATTTATTAGGAGCACCATTTCGGCAATATTCGGGTGCAGTTAGAACTAATCCCACGTAGATTTACATTCCCCTATGACCCTGTCTCTCCCCTCCTCCCTGGCCATGTCATAAATCACATTCTCCAATTAACCACTTTGGCCAGCTGTGAAATCCAACACCCTCCTTCTGATTGCGGTCAAGAAGAATGTATGGAATGCACTTCAGTTAGGGAAATCAATCAGCTCCATCAGTTCTCCCTCCCTCCTGCTCATGGCAACTTGAAAGCTTTGCAAGTTGACACATGACCTGGATGATTGAGAATCTCCATAGACATTCATGACTGGAAGTTTTTAAGAAGAGACTGGACAGTCACTTGTCTGAAGTGGTACAGGATCTCCTGCTTGAGCAGCCTGGACTAGAAGACCTCCAAGGTCCCTTCCAGTTCTATTCCAATTCATATTCAGGAAAAAAAAAAATTTTTTTAATGTTTTCCCACACATCCTGTTCCCATTCCTGTTATCCTCCCTGTTTTCCGTAAATTCATCTCAAGCCGTTGCTGCATTTCAGCTCTCGGCACCATCGCCGCCTTTAGACAGTGAGAATTGTGCTTCAACAACGTCTTGAGGGTAGTAGGTGGCTAACCTCCTACTAAATCATGTTTTTTTTCCTCTCCCCTCCCAGGGAGCCTACGTAATTTGGGAAAACAATATCTTCAGTTGCAAAGGAGGGGGCTGCTAACATTGTCTTGTGGTTGTCATGGTTACTTCAGCAATACCTGCAAAGGTATTAATAGAGGGATAGAATCAAGATTACGTGAAGTTTAATATCGCTCTACAAAGCCTTAGTAAGAGCTCACTTGGAATACTTGCAGCCAGGGGTGGGCTTCAAAAATTTTAGCAAGGGGTTCTCTGCCCACGTGCTGGGCGGGCATGGCCATGGTAGGCGTGGCCTAGTCAGCCTCCTGCACCATGGCGGGGTGTGTGTGTTTGCCCTCCCCAGGCTCCAGAGGCTCTCTAGACCCGAACTTCCGGTAGGCCCTTTTTTCACCTTCCCCGAGCCTCCGCGCATACCGTGCACTTACCTGCATCCAAAACGGGCCGTGTGGAGACTCCTGGGAGGGGAGGGGCGGGCAGGGCAGGGCCAGCCAGGAGTGGGATTTGGGGGTTCTCCGAACTGCACAGAATCTTACCTAGAGGTTCTTCTGAACCCCCAGAAGCCCACTCCTGCTTGTACCCAGTTCTGGTCACCACAATATAAAAAATGGCATTGAGACTCTGGAAAGTGTGCAGAGAAGAGTAGCAAAGAGGATTAGGGGGCTGGAAGCTAAAAGACTACAGTAATGGGAACAGGATGTTATTTTATTTCCCCCCCCCCCCAAAAAAAAATATTGTAGTTTTTTTCCGTTTCCCAAAATTCCAGTACATAATCAGGGAACAGGATGTTATTTTTAAAGGTGTCCTGGGTATTTAAAGGGTCAACTTGAATGATGGTTGGGTCATCAAGTCAATGCAGGTGGCAGGAATTGGGTATGTCTAGTCTAACGAAAAGGACTAGGGGAGATACGATAGCAGTGTTCCAATATTTGAGGGGCTCCTACAAAGATGAGGGGGTCAAACTATTTTCCAAAGTACCAGAAGGCAAGGCAAGAAATAATGGATGGAAACTAACCAAGGAGAGAAGCAACTTGGAACTAAGGAGAAAATTCCTAGCAGTTAGAGCAATCAACCAATGGAGTAGCTTGCCTTCAGAAGTTGTGGGTGCTCCATCAGTGGAGGCTTTCCAAAGGAGGCAACACAATCATTTAGCTGAAATGATATACTTGAGCAGGGGATTGGATTAGAAGGCCTCCAAGGTACTTTCCAACTCTATTATTCGGTGCTCTAAGATTGATAGAAATGTTAGATATAAGGAAAATGAAATCCACTTAAGAACCAAACCTTGCAGAGTTCTTTTTTTCTTTTTTCCTATCCATTCTTTCTCTATAGGTAAGTGGTGCGGTGGCCTGGAGGTGGAACTTTCGCCTCATAATCAGGAGGCTGAGAGTTCGATCCTAGGTAGAGGCAGATATTTGCACACTGAGAATTTATCTGCTGAATAAAATTCCGCATTGGCAACAGGAAGGGCATTAAAACACTCTGCTCCATTCCGGTGCTCAGACTCCACCCCGCTAGGAATTATGGGGTCATTAAAAGCAGATGATGACAATTCTTTCTCCATAGGTGGATCTCTACGGCTTTGGGGCAGACCATAAAGGCAACTGGCATCACTACTGGGAGAACAATCCTTCTGCGGGAGCCTTTCGTCAAACCGGCGTCCATGATGGAGACTTTGAGGCCAATGTGACGCAAACCCTCGCCTCCGTGGCCAAAGTACATTTCTTCAAGGGCAGATGACCCCGGCTGTCGGACAAGCGGTGATCTCTGATGAGAAGGAAAGGCAGATGTTTTTTTAAATAAATGGAGTCTTGGAGTGGAGCGGTCTGTCAAGTCTCCGCCAAGAAAGAGAACTGCAAGCCGCAATTAGCCGGCAGCTTTGAAAGGCCCCTCAAATACAGCTTCGAAGTTTTGACAGCGTAGGAAAAACACCTCAATTTGGAAAGGAAAGCCTGTTCGAGACTCCCCTATTGTAATCCATGTTTTAATTCCTTTTCTGTCTTCGGAATGACTGAGTCTTCGGCGTCGACACGAAAAAAAAAGTGGGGGGCAGAAGAGATCAGGGATTTGCAAACACCCTCTTGGTTTCAAAATTACCTCAGAAGAGCTTTATTCCAATCATGGTTTCTTTTCTCTGAAGGATCCTGGCAAAGGCCAAAAAAACAACCCTCACCCAGTTCTCGTTGGGTGGGAACGAACAAAATGGTGGCGGCCTGTGAGCAAAAGGGTTTGCTGGGCTGTGTCGTTTAAGCGTTTTTGGCTATTGAAACGAAAAATGTCCTTTTTTTTTTCCCCGGGTAATATTTACCGTTGCTATTTAGTGTGGCTACAAGCTCAGGAGCGAAAGAGCAGGCCTGAAAAAGAAAATAATGCAGGAGGGCAGGTTAATACTTTTATTTACTTTTTATTTTATTTTTTTTTTAAATGGTCTGCCACGGCATAGTTCTCCATTCTCTTGCAAAGCAGAGAAATGAATTAACATTGCACACAAATACACACACACACAAAGGACACGCACCAAGACAGTGCAAAATCTGGCTTCCATAAATTTAGATAACCCTTAGAGCAAGGATCTCCAACCTTGGCAACTTTAAGCCTGGAGGACTTAAACTCCCAGAATTCCCCAGCCAGCTGGCTGTGGAATTCTGGGAGTTGAAGTCCTCCAGGCTTAAAGTTGCCAAGGTTGGAGATCCCTGCCCTAGAGGGCATCCATTTTAAATTTCTGCATCATTGGGAGTTTTGCAGCCCAGAATTTTGGCTTCACACACAAACACACACACACACACACACACACACACACCCCTGTCGTTGACATGTGCCTTTCTAAAACGCCCATGATATAAAGAGAGTGTATTTGTCTGTTCCCTCAGAGACTGAAATCTCAGAATTCTATTTGGTCTATGAAAATAAGGGACAGAAAGTTTTTTTTTTTTTTAAACTGCTCATCGCATCTTGTATGGGTGGTTTTTTGACTTTTTGGGGGGCAGAAGAAGGAAAGGAAAAGGAACCCTTTTTTTGTTTTTGGTCTTATTTTCAAGAACTCTTAGGAGGGGGGAAATTGTAAGATTTGTACTTCTATTTTTTACAGCTGTTGTAAATTTAAATATATATTTTAAAAGTATTCAGAGCTTTAAAAAAAGGGGGGGTGGGGAGAGGTTGTCCCATCAGCGTGAGAACAGCAAACCATGGATCTGAGAAAATGTAGTTTACCAGCATAGTCTGTTCCATCTAAATTCCAGGAGGACCATTTTGAGAGAGAGAGGAATCATTGCAAGAACTCCCATTAAAACCAATCAGAGCTCGGTTGACATATATAGGATCTGAACCATCAATAAAAAGTCCAAATAGAATAGAATAACAGAGTTGGAAGGGACCTTGGAGGTCTTCTAGTCCAACTCCCTGCTTAGGCAGGAAACCCTACACCACTTTGGACAAATGCTTATCCAACATCTTCTTTAAAACTTCCAGTGTTGGAGCATTCACAACTTCCGGAGGCAAATTGTTCCACTGATTAATTGTTCTCACTGTCAGGAAATCTCTCCTTAGTTCTAAGTTGCTTCTTTCTTTGATTAGTTTCCACCCATTGCTTCTTGTCCTGCCTTCAGGTGCTTTGGAGAATAGCTTGACTCCCTCTTCTTTGTGGCAACCCCTGAGATATTGGAAGACTGCTATCATGTCACCCCTAGTCCTTCTTTAAACTAGACATACTCTGTTCCTGCAACCGTTCTTCATATGTTTTAGCCTCCAGTCCCCTAATCCTCTTTGTTGCTCTTCTCTGCACTCAAATAACAAGGAGAATTAATCTACAGTCCCCAGTTGCAAAAGTTACAGAACTTTTACAGAAAAGTGACAGGAGAAGGACTTCAATGCTCTAGAATGTGGACCTCAAACCTAGATAGATGAAGCCAACCAGTTGTTTGGACAGCCAACCCCAGAAGCCAATTGGGGAGGCCCTGAAGAGGTAGCAGCATTGTGAAAATGGATGGATGATTATTACCTCAGTTAACTAGACATCCAACGACCCTCCTCTCTCACCTGTAGGACACAAAAGAACAACTTAGGATCAAGATGCTAGTTTGCATGCCTTTTTCATTGTGCATTGATCCATCTTTCCACACCATGGAATCCTACTATTGGGTTCAGAATGTCAGGCGCCATAGTCTGGCACTTCTGGAAGGAGTACCAGATTGAGGTAGGCTGGTCTAGAACATGGAACCCCTTCTTTTTATAAAACAGAAAAATAAAATTGGGGTTGCAGTGTAAACGTCCCGTTCCCTCCAAGAGTTTCTTCACTGGTCACTAATCTACTTTCTAATTTGGAGGTCATAGGATTACGTTGTCGTCTTCAAAAGAAAAACCGGCCAATTTCAAATGAGCTATATTTTTAAGTTGATTGTCCCGAGCACCGTAAATCAAAGCCTTCATACATTTTGTAGCACAGGTTTAAATCACGATTTCTCTAAATCATGTTCAAGGACATTAGTCCTCCTGAGACTGTATGGCTTCTGGAATGAGAATAAGCTTCTTTTTCTAGACTTTTCTAGACTCTGCAGTTCGTTTGTTTTTCCTTTTAATGGCGAGTTATTTACGTACAGGAAAAGGTGCTTTTACTTATCTCCATGAAGACATGTGCCTCTTGAATTCTGCTGATTAAACTTTTGATTAAGGATTAGAGCAGGCCAGGAAACTTCGTCTTGCTCAGGTGGCATCCTTAAACTGTGTACCCCAAATCCTCTCTTCAGGGGTTTGCTTAGGGTTTGTTTTATGCTGTATTTTCAAACTACCAAACAGGAATAAAAGAATTGAGCTAAATGTTGTCAATAGCTTAAATGTACGTGAGTGTTGAAGCATGTCTCCACTATTTTCAACTGCAGGATTTGAGTTGTACGGAAGGTTTATACTGTAAATCTTTTGTGTGTGTGTGTGTGTGTGTGTGTGTGTGTGTGTGTGTGTGTGTCATTTTGGCCGACAGGAAGAGAACAAATGTGATAAGTAATGCTATTGGGAGAATCTGGGAGAATTTATTCTGAAGAATAGGGAACGGTTCACAGCAAACAACAATTGATTGCAAGGTGTTGTGTTCCCAAATTGTATGTGTATTTTAAGCAGAAGGATCTAGGACAACTCACCACAACCAACTCGCTGCCCGACAAGAGTTACACTGATATCAAAACAATGGTGGAATAGAATCATTAAGGAAAGGATGCAAAAGGAGGGACAGAATGAGATGAGAATGACAAAAATTAAAGTATTTTTTTAAAAAATCATTTTAAAATAATTAAATTGTTGAGTTGTCCTGCAGCAAGTTGTCCCTCGGTAACTTGGCCATGGCAAGTTGTCCCATAGTGAGTTAGCTACAGTGAGTTGTCCCATTCTGGTCTCAGAGTGTTCTGACCTAGGCTTCCTGAGTCAGTAAAACACACGAATAATCCCAAAAACCTCTTTTATTTCAAAAGCTGTGAATTGCTTTGCTTTTTGCTTGCTTGCTTTTTTTAATTTATATGCCGCCCTTCTCCGGAGCCTCAGGACGGCTTACAATGCGTTAAGCAATAGCCTTCATACTTTTGTATATTTATACAAAGTCATCTTATTGCCCCCACAAACTGGGTCCTCAATTTACCTACCTTTGAAAGGATGGAAGGCTGAGTCAACCTTGAGCCTGGTGAGATTTGAACTTGCAGTAATTGCAAGCAGCAGATGTTAATAACAGTGCTTTAGTCCACTGTACTACAGGCTCTTGTTGAGAGCCTGTTGAGATGAACAGAATTCTGTTCATTCACAGATGAGTCCCAAAAGGTTGTAAAGAGTCCTTCGGGATAAGGCTGATAATCATCCACCTTTATCTCCCTTGACACGCTGCCAAAGACCTAATTGGCAAAGCCACACGGAGTCCAGAATCAAACAGAGCTTCAGACTTTAAACTGCACAGAATTAACAATGTTGCTTCCTGCAAAGGCCCACGTGCCTTCGCTCCTCTTTTTAAGTCTTACGGGAGGGGCTAATCAGCTCCAAGCCCTACTCCCGAGTTGTCCCTTTTGTTTTAACTGTTCTTGCCTTCTGGCAGTTCTGCGCATGCGCGCACTGGGAACAGGCTCCCCCTGTTCCTCTGCCTCGCTGAGGTCCGACTGGAGGCTCCAGAGGCAACACATACCTCCCAGATGGCCCTTTCTCTGCCTCCGACGCAGAGCCTCATCCGAGCCTTCCCCAGACTCCAGGACTGGCCCATGTTCCTCCCCAACCTCCTCACTGTCAGACTCTGCTGCCACCTCCGCAGGCCGCCGGCGGACCACAACACAGAGGGCTAAAGATCTTTAGACAGGAGGATTAGAATCTTCCAAAAGCAAGATTTTTTTAAAACACATTGGCCCCAGCCAACAGCAGAGATTGTTGCACTATCGATTTAATCTAGATTTGTGGTCAAAGAGATTTAATTCTGCCAAGCAAAAATCCAACTAAGGAGCTTTTCCTTAGCATAAACATGCAGCAGCAGAGAAGAGCCTCTTCGGTGGATTTTATTTGTTGCAGAATGAGATTTGGGTCAAAAAATTCAAAAGACACCATCAAAAGCAGGGATGTCCAGTTGCTTTTAATACTGGGTGGCGCTCATCCACAGGTACTGCTTTATCCGTTGGAGTTTTCACATCCGTGCAGTGATTTGAGCTACAGATCCGAATTGGGTCAAGAAGATGGATTAGAGCGGGGGGGGGTCTCCAAACTTGGCAACTTTAAGACTTGTGGACTTCAACTCCCAGAGGAAATTGTGTGAATTGAAATCCGCAACTCTGGGAGTTGAAGTCCACATGGCTGGCTGAGGAATTCTAGGAGTTGAAGTCTTAAAAGTTGCCAAAGTTAAGAGGCCCCTGGATTAGAGCATACTGCTTAATTGATTCATTTGTTGAGATGGGCGGCTATATAAGCAGAACGAATGAATGAGTATGTGAGTGAGTGAGTGAGTGAGTGAGTGAGTGAGTGAGTGAATGAATGAATGAATGAATGAATGAATGAATGAATGAATTCCCATATTAGATCTCTTTGGAGAACTCTGACAGTAATCCTGGCTGAAATTCATTGGCATCCTTCCATCTCAAGAGACTATGGTATCGTGCTCTGGAAAGAGGTCCTAAACCAGCATCTAGTGTGACTAAAAAGGCCAATTCGAGATTGGCAATCCCTTCCACACTGAGGGCAGATAGATTCTGTCCCCTGCCCAGCCCCCAGATTTCCCTGGTTCCGGGACTGTTTAATTCAATTTAATGAATGGGATCTAAAGACAGAAGAGTCCGTTGGAGGGATGTTACCAGAAAGGTTGGTGAGGACAAAGCTATTAGGGGTGAACGGAAACAGAGCTTTAGAATCTGGCTTTAAGGCTTAGTGCAGAGGTCTTCAAACTTGGCAGCTTGAAGACTTGTGGACTTCAACTCCCAGAATTCTCCAGCCACCCATGTGGACTTCAACTCCCAGCGTTGCGGATTTCAATTCACACAATTCCTCTGGGAGTTGAAGTCCACAAGTCTTAAAGCTGCCAAGTTACAGAGCAAGGTTAACATCTGTTCTCATCATCTCCAGAAATCAGAAGTCTAGTAACACTTTTTTTTAAGTAGCCAATTTTTTTCTTTTAAGGCCTAAGCTTTCATAAATTGCATCTCATCAAAGGCTTTTTACTAAAACAGGATAGTCAGAAAAGTTACTTCCTGGTATTTTATTTTTATTTTATTTTTATTTAATTATTTGTTTTATTATTATTTATTATTATTATTTGTTTTATTATTATATTTTGTTTTGTTTTATTTTATTTGTTTTATTACTTGCTTTATTTGTTTTATTATTTTTATATTTTATTTTATTTTATTTTATTATTTTACTTTACTTTATTTTATTATTTTACTTTACTTTAGCTTTGCTTCAATTCCTCTCCCCTTCCCTCCCCTCCCCTCCCCTCTCCTCTCAGTAGGGTCCCTTCTCAGATGTTTTCTCTACCCCTGGCCCATCCCTTTTGTAGGCTGAGATCTCTCTTGTCTGACTGTTGTCTAGGCTGTGGTTCTTCCTTCTTTCTCCCAAGGCTATTCTCCCAGACCACTGCATACGGTTTTTAATAACTTAAAAAAAGAATTAGTAAATTGAACTTAGAAGTCAGAAAAGTTACTTCCTGGTATTTTATTTTTATTTTATTTTTATTTTATTTTTATTTAATTATTTGTTTTATTATTCTTTATTATTATTATTTATTATTATTTGTTTTATTATTATGTTTTGTTTTATTTTATTTTATTTGTTTTATTATTTGTTTTATTTGTTTTATTATTTTTATATTTTATTTTATTATTTTATTTTATTTTAATTTATTTTAATTTTATTCCATAATGGACGAACGCAGTTCTCCTTGTACTATAAAGCAAAGCTCCCTTACTAATATCAACTACAAAACCCAGCAATGTCTAAGAAGGCAAAACAGCCTCGTTGGGTTCCAGAGGTTATTTAAACTCAAATCTCTTCTTTCCCTGATTATCCAACGACAAGACCCCTTGCAGTCCCCAGAGAGGAACATTCTTGACGAAAAGCAACAGACTTCTTGTTCTCTTGCTTTCCAAAGCTGTCTCGGATACTCAGCAGTTGGGAGTCCTTCTGAATATACGATCCTGATTAACTGCCGCCGATCGATAAGGTTCCTTCTCTGCACCTAATGCTTTTGAAAGCCTGGTGTTGGATCAATACGCCCCCGTTATGCAAAGGGGAGGGAACGTCATGCCGCAGTGTCTGGTTTCATCTATCTGAACAATCGGTGGGTTGTAATTTGATTTTACTGATCGTTTGGTCAGCCTCTGCTACATTTCCTCCAGCTGGCCTTCCCTCCCCCCCCCTCCCACTTACATTAAAAATTCAACAGACAAAGCTTTTTACAAGAGCGGAAAATTTGATGCCCTCCAGATATATTACCCTACAAGCCCCTGTCTCCTACCATTAGTAAAGCTAAAAGTTTCCCTGTGTGTCCAACTCTAGGGACCGATATTCATCTCCGTTTCCTAGTATAGAGAGAGCCAGCATTGTCCAAAGACATTTTCCATGTGGCCAGCATGACTCTATACAACCAAGATGCACAGAAAGCTGTTACCTTCCCACCAAAGTGGTACCTATTTATCTACTCGCATTTGCATGCTTTCGAACTGCTAGGTGGGTAGGAGCTGCAGCAAGGGATGGGAGCTCACCCTGTTGTGCAGCGTTCGGACCTCAAACCTGGACTATCGACTGACAAGCTCAGGTTCAATAAAAACTTGAGCCATCAGCCTTCAACTCCTGCCATCACACTATTTATTTAAATGGTTTATGCAGCCACCCTTCTCAACAGTGATTCGAGGGGGGGGGGTGAGAATTAAAACAGCCCCCACAGCATAGAAGCCACAGAGCCCAAAATTACAACAGGAACTCCAATCGTAGAAAGACACAACAGAGTTTAATCTCTGTGGGGCCCTTGGTGCTCACCGAGCCCAGTTGCTGCCTCACAGACGTTTCATTACCCAACTAGATAACTTCATCAGTGCTAGAAGGGAAGGGGAGTCTAGCACTGATGATGTTATCTGGTTGGGTAATGAAATGTCTGTGAAAAAGCCACCAAGCTCAGAGCGCACCAAGGACCCCACAGTTCAACCCTGAGCTATAAGATTATCTTAATATTGGTAGTTTAATCACTGCTGGTCCAAACATCAAAAAGACGACTGTTGAGGATTGGATAGAGTTTTGGTAAAGCCAGTTTTGAAAGCCTTGCAAAAGGCTAACCAGAATTATCTGGACCATCCAGATAATTCAATAAGGGCGAT